GCAGGGGGGCACTGGGGTCACTAGGGGAGAATTGGGGTCACTCAGGAGGGCACTGGGGTCACTCAGGAGAGCAGGGGGGTCACTCAGGAGAGCACGGGGGGCACTCAGGAGAGCAAGGGGGGCACTCAGGGGGGCACTGGGGTCACTCAGGAGAGCACTGGGGGCACTCCCATGGTTGTGTCCCACAAGAAGGGGTGCCAGCCTGGCCTGGGACACTGCCAGGGCCACTCAGGAGAGCAGTGGGGTCACTGAGGAAGGCAGTGGGGTCACTCTCATGGCTCTGTCCCATAGGAAGGGCTGCCAGTCTGGCCTGGGACACTCTGAGGGTCTCTCAGGGGAGCACTGGGGGCACTCAGGGGGGCACTGAGGTCACTCAGGAGGGTGCTGGGGTCACTCCCGTGGCTCTGTCCCATAGGAAGGGCTGCCAGGCTGGCCTGGGACACTCAGGAGGGCACTGGGGTTCCTCCCGTGGCTGTGTCCCACAGGAAGGGCTGCCAGGCTGGGACACTGCCAGGGATCCAGGGTCACTCAGGGGGGCAGTGGGGTCACTCAGGGGGGCAGTGGGGTCACTCAGGGGGGCACTGGGGTCACTCAGGAGGGCACTGGGGTCCCTCCCGTGGCTGTGTCCCACAGGAAGGGCTGCCAGCAGTGGGCTCAGTGGGGTTTTTCTCTCCTCTCTCGTGCAGGACGCTGAGAACGCCATCCAGCAGATGGGGGGGCAGTGGCTCGGGGGGCGGCAGATCCGAACCAACTGGGCCACCAGGAAACCTCCAGCTCCCAAGAGCACCTATGAGAGTAGGTGCCCACCCTGTGCCCTGCCAGCTCCTGGCGTGGGGGATCCCACAGTTTTTGGGGTGGGGAGGACCTCAGGGCCCATCCCACCCCACCCTGCCTTGGGTTGGGACACCTTCCCCTAAGTCAGGGTGCTCCAGCCTGGCCCTGGGCACTGCCAGGGATGGAGCAGCCACAGCCCCACTGGGAATTCCATCATTCCTTCCCAAAATCCCACCCCAATCTCCCTTTTCCCTGTGGAAGCCATTCCCTGTGTCCTGTCCCTCCATCCCTTGTCCCCAGTTCCTCTCCAGCTCTCCTGGAGCCCCTTTAGGGTGATTTCCTATTCCCTCAATCCCATCATTTTCTGGAGTTTTCCAGGATTTTCCCAGATTTTCCAGGATTTTCCCAGAATTTTGCTGGCATGTTCTCATCCCTTAATTCCCGAATTCCTGATCCCCAATTCTTGTTGCATTCCCAGTGCATTCCTGTCCCTGATCCCAATTTCCTGTCCCTGGAATCGGGACTCTGATGTGTCCCTATAAAGCTTTGCAGGTCATTCCAAACATCCCTGCTCCAATCAGGACTAAAATCCCCTTGCCAATGTCTTGCAGCAAACACCAAACAATTGTCCTACGACGAGGTGGTGACACAGTCCAGCCCCAGCAACTGCACCGTGTACTGCGGGGGGGTCACCTCGGGCCTCACAGGTACG